GAAGGAAAAGATTGAGAGCAGGAGGAGGGGGCATCAGAGGAGGAGGTGGCTGGATGGCATCACTGATGCAATAGACATGGACTCGGGCAAACTTTGGGAGATGGTGAGGGACAGACAGGCTTGGCCTGCTGCAATCCCCGGGGTTGCAAAGAGTAGGACATACTGAACAACAATACATCCATGGCTCACAAATCTTGGGGTGGGAGAGCAAAATTGTTATTATACCTTGACCAATTCCTGAGGCTCTATCACACCAAGATTCAGCTATAATCTAAAGTGAAGGGGACAGAAAAAAAGAAATTGAATAATTTTATATTTTCTTCTTAGAAGAGAATCATTCATTGAAAATCTGGAAGAAATTTTCTTAATTGATGTTTTAAAAGAAACTTAACTCACAAAATTCATTAGAAAAATAATGCTTCCCAAATGTGAGATCAATGTTTATAAGGTGTAAATCGAATCACTTGGTATATGTCCAGGACAACTTTTTAGAGCATGTAATAAAAATTTAATAAATGGTAACCTAGAGGCAGGAACAAGCTTATTTATCAGATTGGCCAAGATGTTTCTGTGATTTTTAAGTAGAAATAAAAGACATTTTTCATTTTCGCCAAGTACTTTATTGAACAGCATATTCACCATTTTGTTCCATTACCTTCTGGCATTTTCCAGGCAACTTCATAATTCCTTTCCGAAACTTTTTATCTTTTTGAGCAAAGAACTGTTCCAGGTTCCTTTTATACCTGGGGAATTGAAATTTTTTCCGTTAAGAGAATTTTTTGAAGACAAAAATAAACGGAAATTCGAAGGTGCAATGTCTGGTGAATTCAGCAGATGAATAGGAACTTCCAAGCCAAGGTACAACAGTTTTTGCTTGGTCATCAAAGAAAGCTTGCCATTTTGGGTCTTCCTAATGGAAGATTATGGTTTCCTGTTCACTAATTCTGGACGTTTTTTGACAGGTGCTGCTTCAGTTGGACTAACTGGGAGCAGTACTTGTTGGAATTAATCATTTTGTTTTCCAGGAGTTCATAATAGAGGACTTCTTTCCAATCCCACTGTACACACAAAATTACCTTCTTTGGTTGAAGACTGGCCTTTAGTGTGGTTGTTGGTGGTTCATTTTGTTTGCCCCACAATCTCTTCTGTTCCACCTTATTGTATAGCATCTGCTTTTCATTGCCTATAACAATTTGTTTTAAAAACATTTTTGTTACATTTCAGAATGCAGTATCACATGTGGAAATAAGGTCAAGGTTTTCTTTTTCACTTAATTTATGTGGAACCCAAACATCAAAGCAGTTAACATAACCAAACTGGTGCAAATGATTTTCAATGCTTGATTTGGATATTTTGAGTATGTTGGTTCTCTCCTGTGTAGTACAACATTGACCATTCCCAATTAATGTCTCGATTTAATCATTAATTTCAACTGGTCTACCAGACCATGGAGCATCATCCAGCGAGAAATCTCCAGCATGAAACTTCACAAGCCACTTTCAACACGTTCAAATCTGTCACAGCATCTTCTCCATACAAGGCAGATCTTGTTTTGCACTTCAGTGTTTTTTACCTTTCTCGAAATAGTAAAGTATGTCAAAAATGTTGTTTTCCCTTCCATCTTCAGTATTAAAATGACTCCTCAAAAATTCACCAATTTTGATGTTTTTTTCCTAAAAATGCATGCTGATATGACATCTGTCAACAATACAATCTAGCAAAATTGTTTCAAATGAAGTTAAAGACTTAGTTAAAACAACTAAGCACTACAAAACCAACTTACAGAAAAATATGAAGGAATGTCTGGCCAACTCAATACATCTATTCTTCAGCACCTTGCTCATATGTAGGAGCCAAGAGTATGTTGTAGACTGTTTACCTGCTCAACATCCCAGGCTGTCTTCAGAAGATTGTGATTTGTAAATAAGAAAGTTGATGATATCCCAGGATGGCCCACTGGATGCAGGGGGTCATTTATCTGCCCAAAGGACTGGTCCAATCAAAACCATATGATGCCCTTCCAAACATTCTCTAGTCACTATGGCAGTCTGACCTTCATCAGGATAGCAAGCATTTTTTATTTCTCTACCCTCAAGAAAGAATTAATGCATGGGACAAAAATCATACTTAATGTTTTTAATTTTTAATATTTTATTTGAAAAATACAACTCACAGCAGAGAACTATTTCTTCCCCTACTTCTCTTTCACAAGGAAATTGTATGGTAAATGTAACTGAGATATTTGGCTAGGATAGATCCTGAGAAAAGAGAGGCCCAGTTAGAAGTGGAATAGACAAAGTCTGTCAAAGAAGGTTCACCTCTCTTTTAACATAAAAGATCCTTTTAGATACTCTTAGGAATCAGATGAAACATGTGCAGAATTTCTGCCATGCAGAGACTACCGAAATTTTCAGGCTGACCAATTTATACTGATCTGGGCCCCAAGTAAGTAGAATAAAAAGATGTCTTTATCAGAAAGATATGTGTTTTCCTGCTTTTACTAGACTATATATATATACATAGTTACAAATGAGTATTTTTTTAAAAATGTGTTTTCATTATTCTCAGTAACAGCATCATGGTTAAGGGCTCTTGCTGACTTCTTGCCCTAAGCATGTATATCTTTTTATTCTTCTGCATTTCCTTCATGGCAGGATCATTCATTACACAATCTTGGGTCCATGACATTTATATTTACAGATGACATTACTGGTTTAAATCTGGATTTCTGAGTAATTTATAACTCCTGCATTCAGACCAGGTTTAGCAAGGTACAAATATATATATATATATATATATATGGCTTCCAACAAGAAAAGTGTGACTAACTGGTTCCTTGAAGACTGATGCCAGAACTGAGAAAACAGACCTCTTTAAGTCTTACTGGTAATCCTGCCTCCTAAAATATTATGATCATTCCCTCCACTTTTATTTCCAGTAAGCGAATCCTCCACCGTTATTGCCTTAAAAAAAAAGTCTTTAAAGAGTGTCAAGGTGTTCCAAGCTTTTTAGTATTCTAAATTTCCTCTGGAACCAAACTTGCTAGAGAAGTCTGAAAGGTAGAAATAGGAATTTTCTGCTTTTCTGGTCCTACTGTAAGTAGTTTAAATTCTACAGTGATGAAAAGAGTAAGTAATGTCTATTTTGAGAGTAGTGGAGAAGTCTTTGGTTATATTTACTTTTTGATTTCTGTTAAAATTGCATAAAAAGTTAAAAATTTATTTCCTTTAGTTCTGTCAAGGTTAAGAAGAATCTTTTCAGTCAATTAACTACTTCTCACATAAGACAAAGCTATTCTGTGTAGCTTTGAAAATCACAGTTATTGTTGAGGAATATGTTGACTGGTTTTGTCATAGTCCAATTTATTTTCCTTATATAACAACTTTCATTCTTAACTCCACATGCTCAGTGTAAGGGACTGCCCCCCAGGGCCTCTCCTGAGGGGCTGGGGTTAGGGCACCGGGTATGAGGGTTGCAGGAGAGACAGCTGATTGAGGTTCTGACTTTACAAAGACCTCACAACTAGACTCTTGACATTATTTTTAAATAAGATTATAAATTGATTAGTATATCATATTTTGAAAGTGTTTATTCTTAAAACACTAATGTTGAAAATACTGCTAAACTTTTGTAACTTTATTTTGGCATTTTTTCTTTTTTTTTGACATATAGGTTGTTGCCCAGGACGCCACTGACCACTGAAAGGCCTCGCTGTGTCCAGCTGATATGGCAGCTGTGGCATATTTACAAAGAATGCTAAATCTGAATTTAAACTGTAACTGCCTCACCCTAGTTGTGTGGGGTTGGGCACGTTATTTACCCTGTCTTGTCTTTATTTTTCTCATCTGTAACACTAAAGCCAAACTCTTAACGGTTTACCTGGGGCTATTGTGAGGATTTGGAATCGCAAAGAGTTGGACGCGACTGAGTGACTTTCACTTTTTTTCATTGTGAGGATTAGATGAAATAACAAATGAAAATGTATTTTGTAAACTGTAAAGTACTATAAATATGCAAAGCAAAATACATTGACTATATTTCTTGCGTTTATATAATTTAATCTGCATTGTCTGGCGGTGATTCTTTTCTATTTAAATTATGTGGAAACTTGACTGGCCAAAGAATGGAGCCTTTGACCACTCTTGAGATGGTTATCTGTGGAAAACTGTTCAATAAATAGGTACGATTGCTGGATTCAGTCACTTAGACTATCCTAAACACTGCCTGCATTCAAAAACTACAAGTCAACAATTAAATCACAATTGTCAGGAACAAAAATCCAAATAAATAATTTTTAATTATGATACATTACTTATTACAGTAAAAATTGGCATTTTCACCTTCAAAAGCAGAAGCACCAGTCTTAGAATTTATAGTATGAATGGTATTTTAAGTGAAATATAGCATAATATTATGTGCAAACATTATTTTAGTATAGAACATACTTTCTAAAAGTAAAGTAATTTCACACACACTGAAATCTGTTAGAATGGAAATAAGGTCATGCTGAATAATGAAATAAAAACCCCCATGACTTTCAAAGTCCACTTCAAATGAAATATGGTATGCTGCCAAATAGAAGATACATGATAAATTAAAAAGCTTAACTAGCTCAAAGTGGAGGGACTTCTCACACAAATATGACTCGTGTAGAGGTTTCTTTTCACTTAGTCTCAGTGATTCTGTAAGAAATTAAAATGAATGTTTTATTTCAGAATTAATTTTTGTTCATTTGTCATCACTTTTTTATTGAACACCTACCTACTCTGTATGAGGCTTTGTTGTAGGTGCAGGGGAGACAGAGGAGAAAGACACAGTCCTGCCCTTGAGGAGCTCACAGTCTAGTGGGGGAAACAGATAAGTTGACACTGATTTTTAAATTATAAAAATGATTAGACAACTTTATAAACCTTTTCTGTCATCAAACACACTTTGGGTGTTATGAATGGATGGTGAAAAGGGATGATGTCCAATGCAGTGAGAGACCATTTGCTTCAATATCATGTGACTTCTGCGAAGGCAGTGATGTGGTTCTGCAAAAAGAAAAAGGAATTACAAAGTCAGAGTCTTGGGAAAACTGGCTTCATAAAAGATTTTGGTGTTTTTACAAATAATCAGTAGCCTTATATAAAATTGTAGCCCAAATACACTTAAATTGCAAAAACATTCAGCATTATTCAAATGAGTTGCATATATTATTATATCAATTTAGCTACTAATTATATATTTTATCCAATATTCTTAATTAACCAAATAGAGGAAAATGTTATACCTGTCTTATTCAAAATTAACACTGAAATTTGGAGAGAGAAATATGGTAACGCCAGACATGTTAATATTCTGTTCAGCGTTAATGGAATTTTAATGCTGCATGTTGGAGTTTCAGATTAATTGCTCCCTGTGAGACAGATGGCATAGAAGGAGTGGTGAAATGTTCAGACTGAAATGGCATTTGCTAGCTGACAAAGATATACTTTAAACACTTCATTTTTGATGCATGAATCCAGACTACGGACTGCAATCTCTGTTGTTTACCTCAACCAAAGAATTCTTTGTAGAGACTTTTTTACATTTTTTTTTTAAGCAACTGAATTGTGTACCAAGGAGCCCTGTGGAATGGCTAATAATTAAATGGTTTCAGACACGCAATATGGCTGCTGAAATATTGCAGTGGAAATCGATATGACATAATTAATCATGCTACATATAGGTCATGTCAGGAGCTAACATAAATGACAGCCCAAACCAATAACAGCAGCATTACAAAAGGGTTTTACCATCAAATTACATGTTTAGAATGTTTTTCATTGTAGCTTTGACTCTGTAAGTCAAAGATATCATAAATAGAATTTCACATAATGAATACATGCGATGAGATTTCGTCCATGTAAAGTGTGGCACTTTACGAGTTAAGGTGTTTTGAATAGCTAAAACATTTTTTGAATGTATGTGAATAAATCCATTTTTACTGAATCGAGGCATATTAACCACAACTAGAAGAATATCACTGATGACTGCTTAAGGCAGATTTTTTCTAGGTCTTACCCACTTCAACCTACTAGAGAAAAACAGTATCAGTAAGAATCAGTAGTGACCAGAGCATGTGGACCTTTTTACTAATTCCTGATAAGCCCTTACAAAGTTTAATTTCCCATTAAAAAAAAAAAGTCCTGAGAAAAATGTTGACTAATCAGTGTCTCATCTCTAAGTTTTCTAGTACTCCTTCCAGAAGCACAAGCATGCTTTTACGACAAAAGAGATCTTTCAGAGTTACAGATTGCACTATGATAGAACAAAAGCCATAAGAACTGTGGAAACAGAACATCATAGTTTTATTTCTAGTGGCCCCATGGGGACTTGAAATCTGTGAACTGAAAAAATACAATTTAATACACAGTATTTCAGTACAAAACTGACAGGAGTGTCACTCCTCTGGACAGGACCCAGCACATAATAATTTCTGGAAGGATGGTAAGTTATAAATGGAAGATTAATCAGTCTGTGGCAACTGGTGGGTAAAGAAAGAGTGAAGATGTGACACTGGAAAGAAACAAAAGGAGATTTAAACAAGGGAGAGAAAACAGATGCTGCTCCAAAGGCCGCTGGCCTAGGTATCAATTTATCTTACCCTAAATAATAATGTCCATAAGGTTCATTAAATTTACTAAAGATGATCCTGAGTGAAGAGGACAACCACCTCCTTGGAAAGCAGAACTGAAATACACTAAGTCCCCCACAAATGAATGAGTCCTGTTCTGAGAGCAAGTTTATAAGTCCAACGATGTTAACCTAGGTAGCCAAATAACATGATCAGCTATATAGTACTGTACTGCAATAGGTTTATAATACTTTTCACACAGATAATACATAAAAAACAAAAAATAAAGAAAACATTTTAAATTTTACAGTACAGTACCTTGAAAAGCATAGTAGTATGGTATAACAGCTGGCACTTCTTAGCAGTACCAGCTACATCACCAATGCTTCTGGACACCCTGGGCTTGAAATAAAGAAATTGTACTTCTGTACTCTATACAGTACTGTCAAGTACACAAATGCACAACCACGTGCAGAGGGTACACACACGTGACAATGTACGCCAGACACGTGAACTAACTTATGTGACTGGATATGACAGTGCCCGTTTGCATCTTTGAAAATTAGAAACTTGAAGGTTCATATGTAGGGGATTTACTGTATTAAAAGACCTCAATAAAGCGAAGAAAGTAACAGAAACAAATTGCTGGTAATCAGTGCAAGGGAGAAAAGAAGCGGAGAAAAAAACCAAGTGACAGGTAAAAAAGCTGGAGAGTGATAAAAAATGTGCAGTGGCTGTAGGGAGAGCATACAAATTTTCATCTACACCTGGGCTTGAAAGTGAAAGTGAAAATCGCTCAGTCATGTCCGACTCTTTGCGACCCCATGGACTATACCATCCATGGAATTCTTCAGGCCAGAATCCTGGAGTGGGTAGCCTTTCCCTTCTCCAGGGGATCTTCCCAACCCAGGGGTCGAACCCAGGTCTCCCGCACTGCAGGTGAATTCTTTACCAGCTGAACTTCCCTTGTGGCTTAAACTGGGGCTGTCCTAAACAGGGATATAAGGTCACCTTAGAAATAAGGCATTGCACAGATAAGTGTAAGTGAGCTATTAAGATCTAGGTTTTGCCATTTAAAAGCACATTTTGGTGACCCCTAGATCTTCCTTTCACTGCTTATAAATTCCAAGCAATAGTGCCCCTTTCTTTATGCTAAGTCATAACCAGGTTAAACTCAAGGGTAACTGTGGTTCCGGATTGACTCCACTTTTAGATCCCAGGGCTCTGGGGAAAAGCCTGCTTTTTCTAATCAGTACCCTTATACTTTCACATCACACTTAAGTTCTAACCTCTGAGATGGCTTTCCCTACTTGGCTGGAATTAAAAGGATTCTGCTCAGGACTTACCACTTAAAGGTGGTAGTTAGAGAGATAAACAGATAAAAAGAAAACAATGAAGTGACTATGTGTAGGGAAGAAAACATTAAAGAGAAATTTAATAATAGTTTCCAAGTACATGAAAGGAGTGTACAAAGAACCCAGGGGCCATCTGTTCATTAATTTCACTAACAGCAAACAAATCCAAACCGCAGAATGAAAAAGAGGGACTATGAACCTCAGTAGGCTTTAAGAAATAAGATGAGTTCTCTTCTAGCACAGAAATAGTTTTTTCCTGAAAGAATCTAGAGAAAGGACAAATTAAAATCCTTATCATCTATAAAACTCTATGATTCGCTACTATAACAACTACATGTATGTAAATGCATGATTTGAAATATTCAAATGGTATGATTCCTATGCAGGAAGTTATGATGTCACTCACTTCCCCATCAGCATTTTTTTAAGCAATATTAAAAAAATCAGAATTGCACTTAATATTTTCAGTTCACCTGTATTGAAGAATGGACTCCCTATGAGTCAAACTAGGTGACAAGGGGTTTTGCCTTTTAATCTGGTTGAATTCTTTATATGCAATATTAAATCTTATTAGTAGACAGGGCAAACTTTCAATAGGCAAACTAAAAATTCATGCACAGAAGCTTAATTCAGAGTCTTAAGAAGAAATTGGTCATACAATCCATCAGGGCAATTACACACACACAGGCGTACAGAGAAGTTAGCAAAGCTTGAGTCCAAAGAGCTGAAGATGAGAATATGTTACATCCATTAGAAAGTGTGCATTCAAGTCCACAGCAAGTCAGTGAGCAAAATACTGAATCCAGTCCTTGAGTGCAGAGGTCCATGGAAAAATAAGTACTTGTTTCTGAAAAGTAGTTTTGGATTCTTAAATTTGATAAACTCTAAGTCCCTAGTATGTCAATTTTTGAAGCTTTAAGTTCCATGTTAAAAATCTTGATTTTTCTATTTATCCTATATCCCATTTGTATAAATTATACTTTGGAATTTTAAAGTTACAAAATTGCTATTTATTTATGACATGAAAATTTGGCAATGACTTGCTACTTAGTGAGATCTGCCACTCACCATTTTTCCACGAAAAAATACAGGGAGATGCAAAAACAGCACTTCAGATAAGAGAACAAAAAAAGTTACTACTATCAAGGGCTATTTGATTGAGGAATGCTAATGAGTGAAATATCAGTGAAAAACCAAAATATATTTGAACAATAAATAATAAAGATAACAATAATAACCAAAACGATCTAGTATCTAGATCCCTTCTGGTTATAATGGAAACTTGCACAGAAGGACACATTTTTTGTATTTGCCTTAGCTTTGCAACTCAATTCTAACACCAGTGCGCGCGAGCGCACATACGTTTATTGCCTTAATTGAAGGTGTTCACAGTGGCTGATTCCCATTATCCAGCTGAAGAGTCTTGCGAGACAGTCTTTAAAGGACCTTCCCTGTGAATTTTCTTCTTGACCATTCTCAATGGGTTGGATTCGGGACACCTACAAAATGTATTTTATATATTATTTCAGTGTTTAAGTATTGACTTACTTGGATAAAGCACTCGTTTATTTAAAATCCGATGTTATATTGCTGGACCAAATGCCGAGCTTAAATACTGTTCCAATTCTTTCTTTCTGGATGATTATAAATGGCTTTTGTTTTTTAACTGGAAGTTATCAGCAATCAGCTTTTATGTTAAACATAAAATGGGATCTGTGCATATGGCATCTTAAATTCAGTGATTTGTGTCTTCAACTCTATGGGTAAGGAAGCTGTGTGGCACAGTGGATGCTGCAGTCAGGGAGTGTGAATGTCAAGTGCTTGAAGGTAGGCTTTCAGCATTTTCACAAGCAGTTTAATCTTTCAGAGATATGGCTTTCTTATCTGTATAGTGGAACTAATAATACATATTTGAATGGATTTTGATTAGGATTAAATGAGATGATATGCACAAAGGTCCTCGTCTCTCTACACAAACATATTATGGTTGTCCATAAAAGCCAGAAGCAAGATAAAAAGTAAAAAAGAGGAAGAAAAAGAGAGAGAACAAAGAAGTTTTTTATAATTGGTTGGAATTCCA